GATACAATATTCCTTGTGAAACAATTAGAGACAATATTCTTATTGAAACAATTAGAGACAATATTCTTATTGAAACAATTAGAGACGATATGCTTATTGAAACAATTAGATACAATATTCCTTGTAAAACAATTAGAGACGATATTCTTATTAAAACAATTAGAGACGATATTCCTAGTGAAGCAACTAGAAATTATATTATTATTGAAACAATTCGAGACAATATTCCTTGTAAAACAATTAGATACAATATTCCTTGTAAAACAATTAGAGACAATATTCCTTGTAAAACAATTAGAGACAATATTCTTATTGAAACAATTCGAGACAATATTCCTTGTAAAACAATTAGATACAATATTCCTTGTAAAACAATTAGAGACGATATTCTTATTGAAACAATTAGAGGCGATATTCCTTGTAAAACAATTAGAGAAGATATTCTTATTGAAACAATTAGAGACAATATTCCTAGTGAAGCAACTAGAAATTATATTCTTATTGAAACAATTAGAGACAATATTCCTTGTAAAACAATTAGAGACGATATTCTTATTGAAACAATTAGAGACGATATTCCTTGTGAAACAATTAGAGACGATATTCTTATTGAAACAATTAGAGATAATATTCCTTGTGAAACAATTAGAGACAATATTCTTATTGAAACAATTAGAGACGATATTATCATTGAAACAATTAGACAATATTCATTGTGAAACAATTAGAGACAATATTCCTTGTGAAACAATTAGAGACAATATTCTTATTGAAACAATTAGAGACGATATTATTATTGAAACAATTAGAGACAATATTCTTATTGAAACAATTAGAGACGATATTATTATTGAAACAATTAGAGACAATATTCTTATTCAAACAATTAGAGACAATATTCTTATTCAAACAATTAGAGACAATATTCTTATTCAAACAATTAGAGACAATATTTCTCGAGAAACAATAAGTGATTATATTCCTCATGAAACAATTAGAGATAATTTTCATAGACATACGTTCTATAATCGAACAAGATACCTTCAAAAAAGCTCGTGTAGTCTATATTATTTTGAGTTAGTTGTGCGAGTACGTACGGATAAACAGAAAAACTAGTTCTGTTATTATAGTATTTTGGCACTTGTGTATAAAGTTAAAATCATAAATAATATTCAACGTTAAATGTTGAATATTATTTATGATTTTTAGTTCTGTTATGTTCGAGCGCCCCCTGTCAAATCTAGTTTCTTCATAACTCAGGGTAAAGATTAAATCTTGACGATCAACAACTTCTCGAAACAAACTGTTTATATGGTTTACGTAAAAGTTTAACATCATTAAATATTCAAACCTTGAGAAAGATTATCACGTTTCTGATATAAAAGTGATCGTACCTTAGAAATATCTGCAAGGAAACCGGTAGAATAACAATAAAACGCTTCACAACTTATTCCACCAGTAAAATATCTTAAATTGGAAACTCGTTTCATGAGTTATTTATGCAAAACAATGCTTGCATTTCAGTTTAATATCTTTAAGAGTACTGTTAGGACTACAAAGTACTGTTAGGACTACAAAGTACTGTTAGGACTACAAAATACTTTTATGACTACAAACATAATAATAACTGGAGAAGAAATGTTTAAAAGCGGAAATGTTACGAGTATTTGTATGTTTAACAAGATTCGAGATTTAAAACAATTCTGAGTGAACGGAAATAATTAAAATATGGGAAAGGCTGTCTTGTGGGGGTAATTTCAAGCAACGTTCAAGACTAACCTTTAATCAACAGATAAATGTTTAGTTGATGTTATTGTCAGTTGTGACATGAATTTCCTGGATGTTAAGAAAGCCGTTATTAAAACATATGTATTCATTATAACTCTACAACTGGTAGGTCATAAAGTGAACGTATTAAGTAAAAACAAAACATGTGTTTCTTATATGCTGAAATTTAAATGGTGTGATGAAAGCATTGTGATGAATGGACACTGCTGAATTTCCATTAAAACATATTTATTCAGACTTGTACACGTGATACGAGGCCTAATTATTTTCATTATACTCTGATGCTGGTAGGCTGAGGCCGGAAATTAACGTTGTCAGTTTAGTAAATACATTACAGTTGAAGCTATAAAATGTAGTGAATAGTTACCGGAAATTAACGTTGTCAGTTTAGTAAATACATTACAGTTAAAGCTATAAATGTAGTGAATAGTTACAGGAAATTAACGTTGTCAGTTTAGTAAATACATTACAGTTAAAGCTATAAATGTAGTGAATAGTTACCGGAAATTAACATTGTCAGTTTAGTAAATACATTACAGTTGAAGCTATAAAAATGTAGTGAATAGTTACAGGAAATTAACGTTGTCAGTTTAGTAAATACATTACAGTTGAAGCTATAAATGTAGTGAATAGTTACCGGAAATTAACGTTGTCAGTTTAGTAAATACATTACAGTTAAAGCTATAAATGTAATGAATAGTTACAGGAAATTAACGTTGTCAGTTTAGTAAATACATTACAGTTGAAATTAAAAATGTAGTGAATAGTTAATGCTTTCCAAGTCTATGAAGCTTACTACATATCCCAGCTATAAGCTTGAATGGATATCTCTGGAAGATATTAGTATGGAATATTACATAATTAAATACGTCATTCATTATTGTTGATTCGTTCTTACACTTGAGTTAGTATGTTACTTTGAGAAAAACTGCTGTAAAACAATGAGCAGTTAATGAAGTTACCCACTAAACATGAGTCAGTATTTTGTAGACTTTTTGTGATACTAATTTTGAAGTATATGTTAGTGATCTGTAAACAAGGACCTATTTTAATTTTTCAATTCGTATTTTTGGAAGCGTTATTTAAACGAGAATTTTAAATACTGCATCCCAACAAAATTATTAGTCTTTTAATAAGAATAAACTTAACATTAATAACCACACTTTAGAAAAAAAAAGATCTTTCAACTCAAAATTGCCGCCAGAACCATTTCTAACTTTTTCATATCTTATCTTTTTCTAGTTAGTAGAAATACACATCTATCAAGTTCCCTGTGACCGCTGGATAGAACGACAGAAACTCGCCAAGGGAAAAGTTGTTCACTATGCTACATCTTCCGGATTTATCAGGTACATCCTCCTACCCCCCCCCCCTTATCTTTTAATAATCAAAAGGTATGTTATCATACATTACAACCATGCTGTTATTTGTGAGATTGTAAAAAAAATGTGAAAAACTTCAGTTTTTACTTTTGACATTTTCCAATCTTCAAAAGTCGAAATTCGATCCTGAACGTTCTTCATAGTAAAGTTTGTTACAGGCCTGCCCCATTAGAGCTGGAATCAACTAGTTTAATGCTTTTTTTTTAAAAGAGTATTCATGTACTGTTCACTTCTGTGCCAGGTTGATTGTTATTAGCCAGGTTGATTGTTATTAGTTAGGTCGATTGTTATTAGCTAGGTCGATTGTTATTAGTTAGGTTGATTGTTATTAGTTACGTCTGTTGTTATTAGTTAGGTTGATTGTTATTAGCTAGATTGATTGTTATTAGTTACGTCTGTTGTTATTAGTTAGGTTGATTGTTATTAGCCAGGTCTATTGTTATTAGCTAGGTTCATTGTTATTAGCTAGGTTCATTGTTATTAGTTAGGTTGATTGTTATTAGCCAGGTTGATTGTTATTAGCCAGGTTGATTGTTATTAGCTAGGTTGATTGTTATTAGTTAGGTTGATTGTTATTAGCCAAGTTGATTGTTATTAGCTAGGCTGATTGTTATTAGCCAGGTTGATTGTTATTAGTTACGTCTGTTGTTATTAGTTAGGTTGATTGTTATTAGCCAGGTTGATTGTTATTAGCTAGGTTGATTGTTATTAGCTAGGTTGATTGTTATTAGCAGGTTGATTGTTATTAGCTAGGTCTATTGATATTAGCTAGGTTAGTTGTTATTAGCTAAATTGATTGTTATTAGTTAGGTTGATTGTTATTAGCTAGCTTGATTGTTATTAGCTACGTCTGTTGTTATTAGCCAGGTCGATTGTTATTAGCTAGGTCTATTGTTATTAGTTAGGTCGATTGTTATTAGCTAGGTCTATTGTTATTAGTTAGGTTGATTGTTATTAGCCAGGTTGATTGTTATTAGCTAGGTTGATTGTTATTAGCTAGGTTGATTGTTATTAGTTAGGTTGATTGTTATTAGCCAGGTCGATTGTTATTAGCTAGGTCTATTGTTATTAGTTAGGTTGATTGTTATTAGTTAGGTTGATTGTTATTAGTTAGGTAGATTGTTATTAGTTAGGTTGATTGTTATTAGCTAGATTGATTGTTATTAGTTAGGTTGATTGTTATTAGCTAGGTCTATTGTTATTAGTTAGGTTGATTGTTATTAGTTAGGTTGATTGTTCTTAGCTAGGTCTATTGTTATTAGTTAGGTTGATTGTTATTAGCTAGGTCTATTGTTATTAGCTAGGTTGATTGTTATTAGTTAGGTTGATTGTTATTAGCTAGGTCTATTGTTATTAGTTAGGTTGATTGTTATTAGCTAGGTCTATTGTTATTAGTTAGGTTGATTGTTATTAGCTAGGTCTATTGTTATTAGCTAGGTTGATTGTTATTAGTTAGGTTGATTGTTATTAGTTAGGTTGATTGTTATTAGCTAGGTCTGTTGTTATTAGTTAGGTTGATTGTTATTAGCCAGGGCGATTGTTATTAGCTAGGTTGATTGTTATTAGCTAGGTTGATTGTTATTAGCTAGGTCTATTGTTATTAGCTAGGTTGATTGTTATTAGCTAGATTGATTGTTATTAGTTACGTCTGTTGTTATTAGTTAGGTTGATTGTTATTAGCCAGGTTGATTGTTATTAGCTAGGTCTATTGTTATTAGCCAGGTTGATTGTTATTAGTTACGTCTGTTGTTATTAGTTAGGTCTATTGTTATTAGCCAGGTTGATTGTTATTAGTTACGTCTGTTGTTATTAGTTAGGTCTATTGTTATTAGCCAGGTTGATTGTTATTAGTTACGTCTGTTGTTATTAGTTAGGTTGATTGTTATTAGTTACGTCTATTGTTATTAGCTAGGTTGATTATTATTAGCTAGATTGATTGTTATTACTTACGTCTGTTGTTATTAGTTAGGTTGATTGTTATTAGCTAGGTCTATTGTTATTAGCCAGGTTGATTGTTATTAGTTACGTCTGTTGTTATTAGCCAGGTTGATTGTTATTAGCTAGGTCTATTGTTATTAGCTAGGTTGATTGTTATTAGCTAGGTTGATTGTTATTAGCTAGGTTCATTGTTATTAGTTAGGTTGATTGTTATTAGCCAGGTTGATTGTTATTAGTTAGGTTGATTGTTATTAGTTAGGTTGATTGTTATTAGCCAGGTCGATTGTTATTAGTTAGGTTGATTGTTATTAGT